TAAAGAAGCGAGCCATTTTCTTTTCTACATCCTCTGGCACTTCAATTTGAGTTTAATATCTGAACCCACTTAAAAAGACTACTCTTTCCTTCACCCATTCTAAAGCTGTGGTACAAACTAGGAGCTATAGAGAATCTATTTCGCAATGATGATAACTGTAAATTTTGTTGGGTGTATAAAATGAGTCAATTAGGTCTCTTCCTTTTTAAAAAACAAAGAATCACAGTTGCTTATGTTTTAATTCAGTATGTGCCTAATATTCTATAGGACATGATTGAGATAAGCCTATCATTGACACCAAAAGAAGATCTGTGAGAGTGTACAGGCATTGTTTTAATTGTATAAAATGTACTGCTTTGTACATTTTCATGAAATTAATTGAAGTCTCCTAGAGTTATTAAAATACATTTGAACTTACCAATGAAGTGCAATTAGCTATCATTTGAAGTGATGTTTCTACTAATAAATGACATGAAAATATGTTGCTGGAGCTTCTTTCTCAGCCTGGTCCCACAAATGCTTCAACCCCATATAAACACATGGGTGCTATATTAATTATTAATCTGTTGGACAATAGCTAGGGCTTCTTATTGGCTATCTCTTTTCTTAATTCTTAACCCATTTCTATTAATCTAAGTATTAGCTTACGGGAGAAGGATCCAGACTTCTTACTCCTTCCTCTGCTACATAGTGTTCTTTCCACACCTCACTGCCTACCTTTCCCAGAATTCTCCTTGTCCCTAGTTCCACCTATCTTCCTGCCTTTCTTGGCTATAGGTCAGTGTATTAATCATCAATCAATAAGAGAAACATACATACAGAAGGACATCCCCCATCAAAAAATGGATAGTTTTTATTGTTAGGCAACATTTATCATGTTAGGCAACCAAAATCTGCATGCTTTCTCAAGAATGTTCCTGTAGCACATGATACCAGTATTCTGAGATCATGTACAGGACCTCCCTCTCGTACTAATGGATCTGTCATTGCATACTCCAAATATTATGGAAAGCAAAATAATATTGTAATAGATTAGCAGGCAGAGGACACAACTACAGCTCAGCCTCTTTCTGTATCTCTCCCTCCCCACCCCTCTTTGGTTTTGTTTTGTTTGTTTTGGTCATGGAAAATGTTCTCATAAATGATCATTATCACCTTAATGGAATGTTGCAGAGATATTTAAGATGAAAACTATCCCCTTTTCCAGGTCCCTGAGAAACTCTGGTTTCCTTTCCAGAATGTAGTTCTACTATGAATGGTTATGAAACATAATTTGAAGGAACTACTAGTTGATTTTCCATAATTTTGACCTTGGATAAATAACACATCACTTAAATACCATGTTGGAATTTTACATGCTAATTAGTGATATCACAGAAGAATTTATGTTCTTTAGTTTTGCCATAATATAAATACTCTAATTTAGCATAACTTTCTCTTAAATATACAAGAAAATTTATGAGAAAATAACTATTTTAAAAATATATACCACCTAAGATTAGCAAGGTTATTAAAATTTAATGTTCTTGCCCTTAATGTAAATTATAGCCTTTTAATTTTCTTGTGTTTTTAAAGAAATTTATAGCTCATAATAATTCATATCAGTAGATTTCATTTAGTAGTCTTAGTGAAAGCAAATATCCCCAACATTAAAACTTACAGATGGTTGTGAGACAGCTACCCCAGAATTGTGGGATGGGCTAAGTTAAGGGGTTTCTTGGGGCTTGCTGATTGTCAGTAGAAGGTGATTCAATAGTAGATAGTAGACCTAATGTCCCTCTCTGGCCTGCAGGATCCTGTTGGTGGATATATGTATATATATATATATACACACACACACACACACACATTTGAGCATTTATCTGCCACATAAGTTACAGACATGCACACATAAACAAATTGGAAAGAATTATTAACTGTAATAGAGATTGGAGTGAGGTTTGTTGGACTTCTGGAATTTCATAAAGAATTTATGAATGCCAGATATGTTATAAGATAGTCTAATCTATAGTGGCCTCTAAATCTGAAATACAGTTTTCATGGCCCAATACTCTGACCTGAGATCCTAATCCTCCTCTAGAGGCACGGTATGTCTCTGAAAGGCAGATAGTCAATAGGAGGCCATATTGGTACAATTTGCTAGGAAATGATCCTCTAGGATTACTAATGTTAACAGGAAGCTCTGTAAGAAAAACAAAACAAAAAAACAAAAACAAAAACAAAATGCTTGGGGGGTCCTGAGGATTGTGACTAACTCAGTGTCAGTAAGCAATTACTGGCTATTAGAAGCTTAGTGGATCTTCAGAAACTACAAAAACATGGAGAAATAGGGAAAGTGTAAAACAATGGGAGCTTGAGTCTGGGAAACACATATACATTGCAGTAGACAGACACCAGACAATTTACTCATGGTCAAGAACACATGAGCTAACAAAACACATAATACAAGAAATACCCCATTCTTACTCAGTGTTTTGCATCATATGCACATAATACATGGGAATGTGCTAATTCGGAAAAGTATTTTAAAAGTTCAGATCATTTTAATCAAGCAAAGGAATGCATTATAATTAAAAGGTAAAGAATTTATAAACAGAGGCATGGCATTGAAACTTGTGTTCAATTTCTTTAAATGATTCATTTATTGAGATAGTAACTGATATTTTACAGTAATAGTTAAGAGGGAAGTGATGTGTCTATCCTCATACTTGTTGCTTAATTCTAAGAATACCGCAAGGAAAAGTGTGGTATTTATATCCTTGATACTTTAGATTGTAAGGATGAAAACTGAACAAATTTTAGATAAATAAATTTAATGGATGTTATTTTAACTATGTCACTAATTGGTTCTTTGGGGATTGCTATATTTAAACTTACAGTTTATGTAAATGTGATTAGTCATTTGAAATGAATAAGTCATTTCATAATATACCTTATGCATATGTAATTTCCCAGTCAAGAAGGGCTTCCTAAGTTGTGTGTGTATTTTGACATACTCTAATTGGCCAAATTATCTTAGTTGGATAATAAGCCTGGTTCTCACCAACTGTCTCCATAATTTCCATGATTTCTTACTAAAGAAAATGAAGAAATGTATCACAGTGCATATGTCATCTGAGTAGGAATCTTCTTGAGTCACATGTCTAGATACTTTCAACGTATGGGACTTCCATGCCATCAAGCTGACATGCCGTTAATGAACTAAGTTTACTTGCCTTCTGTAGGCCCAAACTGTGGGTGTGCACTAAGAATTTTAGTGCACTTTGATCAGAGTGTTGACTTTATTGGAATAAGTATGAATCAGTTACATTTTAAAATCAATATAAAAAGCCAATAAGTTTTTAGTTTCAGTATGTAGTTTCAGAAATACGATAGTTTTTGAAACTAATAGATGAATGACTTTCTGCTTGAATAAATTTACATCATTCAAATAAATTTGCAAAGCTAAAATTTTGTTTGTTATCTTTTAAACAGTATTTATTGCATGTATGATAGTTGGAATGGACTTGGTGTATCTACCCACATACACCAAGTCAGTTCTAAGACTACCACAAGGAAAAATGTGGTACTCCATCATACCACCCCCTTCTTGTTCTCTCTAAGTCCTTCAGAACCTCTTAGCCCATCTGTGTTCTCTTTCAACTTATTTTCTCCTGTTTCAATTTACTTTGCATTTTCCTGTATACCCTGCTGAGTCCAATTAGAATTGTCCACATGAACATGGGCAAGCTACAAAGCCAGCTACTATATCTCTGAAGGAAACCAGCTCAATGCTGCCTCCCCTAATTGCCCTCCCCTTGAGCCTCACAAGCCTCTCTTATTCCATGCTAGACTGCTTACTGACTTGATCTTGTGCAAGGCTCACAACTATAGATACGGTGAGTTCCTGAGTGCAGCTGTCTTGTCATGTGTAGAAGATGCTACTTGGTGGTAGTCCTCCCGCCATCTAGCTCTTATAAGCTCTGCATAACCTTTTCAGTGACGTTCCTTGAGCATTAGGGGGAGATGGTTTGGTGAAGATGCTTAATTTGGGGCTTGGAAGTTCACCATCAATTTTTCTCCACAATGCCAGTTGTGCATCTGTATATTCGTGTCTGTCTGCTATAAAAGGAGCTTCCCTTATGAAGGAAGAGAACTACAAAAAAAACCCACCAAGGGTCTGTACTTACAAAGCAGTTTGACAAAAATAATCATAGTTAACTTTCACTGTAGTTTAATCACTTATCCATAATTTCAGCCTGAAACAGAGCATAAACTTAAAATAGTCATTAGAAATGGAAATTGATAAATCATTTCAACAATATTCATTATTTATTAAACATGTGACTATGAATTCTATGATAAGGCTATGTTATGATAACAATCCAAGAAAAACAATATTTTTATGAGAGAAGATATCACTTTTTTTCCCTTGGCTCACTTGGAAGTCCTTGTAGGCCATGTTGGCGTTGAACTCATAGAGCCTCTACCTCCCAAGTGCTGGAATCAAAGGCATGCACCACCATTCCTGGTGAAAAATAGTCTTGAACTCAGGGACAGTTTGTATTGGATGAAAACAGGATGAGCAACTATCTGGAAGCACCCTTTTCCTTAGCTGCACTTTCTCTGTCAAGGGAAAACGTCTAAGTTAACTCCATACAAATTCCTGTGGCTGACTCATGTGACAACATGAGGACATGGCTTACACTGGTTTCCTTTTCTACTGTTGTCTTACTTTCCAGTTTTAAAAAGAAAACATTGGTGACATGAAAATGTTATTTTGTATTTGAACATTCCTATTGATTTTGTTGATCAAGCTTAATTACCTTTGTGTGTGTTTGTTGGGGGGCACGGAGGGCAGAGAGCAGATTACAACTGTCTCCATTTCTACCAGGTGTGTCCTAGAGATGGAATCCAAATTGTCAGTCTTGATATAAGCACCCAAACCCCCAAAAGGTGTCTTGCCAACTCAGTCATGCTTATACTTTGACTTGGTTTCTCTAATATATTTTGTCTTTCAGCTTCTCCCTGGGTGGATAATAGTAGAACTCCAAACAAGATTGATTTGTATGATGTACGCAGAAGACCATGGTATGAAATTTTTACTGTCCCTAAGGATAAGATCAATGAAAGAGGGTTCTATTATTTGTTAATATTTTCAGGGTAAATTTCTGCTTAGTGGGATAGGTGTCATCTCCTTATATATAATGGCATATTTTCAAAATATAAATGTGATTAATAACAAATGAAAATGATGAATCTAGGTAAGAAATGGTGGTGAACAGTGTTACAATGATTTTTCAGACTTTTTTTTTTCAAATGGATTACTTTAAGTCTTATATTCAGTTTCAGCTTGCACTCTCTTTTTGCACTCTCAGGATTCTTACTTTGATTGGGGTAGAGCCATAACAGAGAGTTGACATAGAATCAGAGACAATATGCTTCTGGCAGTAAGTTAATGAGGACTGGCCCCAAGCTAAGAATGCTGCCCAAGTATATCTATATAATTTAGATTTGATTTCCCCCAAAGGCATTCTATTTGTTTGATAGTACTAAAATAATTCATCATCCTACAAAACAGTATGTTTGGGCTTAATGAAAAATAACTCTTAAATTTCATGCCTTTTAACTATTGATTTTGAGTATCTAAATTTAACATTTAAATTGTAAATATACTATTTTTTAAGAGTTCACATGTACAGAGGTATCTTGTGCCTTTTTCATTCTAATTCTTAAGTACAATATTGATGAAAAGAAATCTTAACATTTTAATAAAGTCTATCTGCTTACTCAATTAATAAAGTCCCTATTATTGAATTTTTCAATTGTTTCCAACTTTGTGCAATGTTCACAAAAATTCTATGCAACATAGTGATTGATTGGAAGAATATGTATTAATGACTTTTAGGTGTCCTGTTTAGTATCAAATAGCTGTTTACATGAACACCACCTTAAGCAATAGTTACCAATATTAATATTATTAATAACATCCCTACAGTTTGTTACTTAATGTAAGCAAGTACTACTTTATAACACAGTTAGTATTAAGAAGTGGTGATTTTATGGGAAATGTAAGAACAATGTGTCAATCATCCAAAGCAAACACTGCCCTGATCTTTTCATCTTCCCACTGAGAAGCACACTGGGACAGATGCTAACCAGGACAGTGTTAGATTCTAGCCATGAGCCGGATTGTCTACCGTGGGAAAAGAGAGGGACTTTTCCTATTCCTGCACAGAGAGAATGTAGTGGATTGCAGGCAGTGCCCTGAAGTTCTTCCTCCATGGAAATCCTGAGCAGGTAGCAGCTGTGCTCTAGATGGTTGAGGATGAATTCGCCTGCTGTCAGTGAAAAGTTGAGTCTTCATGCAGCCCTTCCTTCTGAGGAATGTGGACATCTGGTCCCCTTCATTGTCTGTTCCCCTTCAGTCTCTAGCCAAGCAGTGTGTGTGTGTGTGTGTGTGTGTGTGTGTGTGTTTGTCTATCTGTCTCTATCTATCTCTCTCATTAATCATCTGCTCTCAAATTTATTTCTACATAACTTCCTCCATAAATCTACCCTAAAGTATCTTTCCAATGCAGAGAGGCTTGTTCTGTAAGAGGGGTAGGATGGTAGAATTAACATTTGAACTGCTTCTCAGCGTTATTCTTGGACACTTTAAAGTTTTAAGAGTTTCTGCTTTGAATTCTTAGAAATAACATTATCCAGTGCTTAATTTCAGTTATTTAATGGGCCTGTTGTGTTTCCTTTTGTTTAAGTTGCTTTTTCTTCAAGTTTATATTCTATGTATCTCTTTGCATTTGGGAGGTGGTATTTAAAATTATAGTTTGTTATCTACTACAATGAAAAGCTCATAATTGGAATTTTGTATTTTCTTTCTTCAGGAAAAATTCCTTTTGGAAACTAATTTTATGCATGGCTTATGTTAAATTTTATCTCTATCTTTTCCTATAAATATTTGGAAAGTATGCTTTAAAAGCCATAACTTGAGCATCTCTAATGTAATCTTAAATATGTTTTTTTTTTTCAAACTAACATTTCATCATTTACTATGGTTGTAATAGGATGAGTCTGTGCTTTAACCAGATCTTAGCTTCAGAGATCTATGAACAATAATACAGCAAATATCAGTGTTAGACCCAGAGGAAAAGAAGTGTTTCTGTGGTTCTGTTTCAGGTATATCCAGGGTGCTGCATCCCCCAAGGACATGCTTATTCTGGTGGACGTGTGAGTAGTTGAATATTATCTTTTTATCTCTAAAGCATGAGAGACTTTTATAGGTAATAGTAGTTTTCTGGAAGTTAGCAATCTGTGATGAACTGGAAAAAATTAATGTGATGATTGCATATGCAAAAAAGCCATATTAAGACATTAACAAGGGATCAGGAAGTTGGCTCAGTCAATAAGCTGCTTGTTGCACAAAATGGAGATCTGAGTTCATTTCTCCAGCATCTACATGAAAAAAAATTTTAAATGACAGGACAGGAGTTTGTGCCTGTAATGCTAACTATGGATAGGGTGAGACAAGATTCCTGGGGCTTGCTGACTAGATGATCCAAAGGGCCAGTTTGTCCCAGCATTACTATGTGAGCCAGTCTTCAAGAACTGGTACAGAGTGGTAGAGAAAAATACCTAACATCGACCTCTGACCTCTACAAGTGCATATATGTATACATGCGTGCACACACACTCATGCATATCACACACAAACACACATACACAAACACACATACACAAACACACATCACAAACATGTCACACATGCATACACATCAAATACACATCACACACACACATACAAACATGCACACACATATTCATACATATACACATCACACACAAATCACACACAGACACAGATACACACACACATAAAAAACACACACATGCACACACATCACATACAGACATACAAACATGCACATACATATACATGCATATACACATCATACACATCACACACACATCACATACAGACACAGATACACACACACATCAAACACACGCACACACATCACATACAGACATACAAACATGCACATGCATATACATACATTACAAACATACAAACGTAACACTTATGCGCATACATATACACACAAATGTAGGCATGCACATGCAGATGTGTGCACATTGATGAAAACAAAACTAGAAAAAGTATTTTATTGAAAATGAAAAAAATGCTATTTGTATTTGTATCAAAATGGAAAATGATGACAAATTATTTCAAAATTATTTATTATTTCAATTTAAGTTTTCAATTCTGAACAATATTAAAGTATAGAGTTATTGAAGCTCACAGTTCTTGTTACTAAACTAAAAAAAGAAAGAAAAAGAAAATATAACTTAATTGGTACTTAGCCATAAACAATTATATTGACTATAGGCATTTAGATCATGTTAAATGTTATCAGTAGGACATAATATACATGAACAATTTCTGCGTTAATATTTTTTGTTAATTTATTATATTGTTGCAAGTTGAAACCATATGAAAATCTGTATGCACCTATTTATTATGTAGAAGTGGGAGTTCGTTGCCTAGAGATGAGCCCTCCCTTAGAGGAGGTGTAGAAACAGGAGAGATGAAGAAACCCTGCAGGATCTGTTCTTTGGTCTGAGGAGCGAGGCATTTGGCCACATACCTCATCACAGCTGTGCAGCTCTGTTAATTTCTTCTATCCATTTTTTCTATTGACTTTTATTTTTTAATTAAAATATAATTATATCATTTTCCCCTTCCCTTTCTTATCTTTAAAGCTATACACTTTCTCTCAAATATATGGCCTGCTCAGTCTCTATGTTAGTTGTTTGTATGTGATTTCAGGGCTAACCACTTTTTTAAAGACAGAATTATATTTTTATTTTTATGTAAATGATCCTGAAGCTGAAAAGATCATTAACTTTCTTTATGATGCTGTTTGTTAAATGACTGGGGAGTAACATGTGGATCCATTTGTCTGTTCATAGGAGTGGAAGTGTGAGTGGATTGACTCTGAAGCTCATCAGAACATCTGTCTCTGAAATGCTAGAGACCCTCTCGGATGATGATTTCGTGAATGTAGCTTCAGTGAGTATGAGTGGCTCTTTTTTCTGAAATACACCTATCTGTCTCCCTGGGCACTGGACTCTGAGGTGTCCTGAGCTGGTGTAGGAATGGTACAAGCTGGTTATGAGCTGTTCTACACTACCTTTCTGAGGTCCCTAGCATTTACATCTGTTTAAATGATGAATACTGAATGAAAGGCATTCCTCTCCTTCACTCTATGGAGCCTGTATAAGTAACGTGACCCCTTCTACCCACAGGCACCTTCAGGACATCTGATTAAGTAGCATCTTGCAACATGATTGAACAGTTAATTGCTTGTTGCTGGTTATGCTCCTTTTGACCTGGTCAACTAACCTTATTGCATTGTGGTTTTTCTAACAGAAGAAAAAAAGAGGCAATTAAATTTTCTTGGAAGCACCTTAGACCTTATTGTAGGTAGAAAGTACAGCACTCAGTGGAAATGAAACAAGATATGCACATCTCATTTTCATCTATGTAATTTAGGCAATGAATTTCATGGTCATTTTCTGGTGGAAGAAATCTCATATTTGAAATGGTTTTATTTAGGGAGATATGGTTGAAGGAGGAGTGTGCTTTGTTAACATTGCTTTGTATTGAACCATTGAGAATGGATATTCCTCTAAAATCACTGGTGAGGATGAAACTATAGTCTGCATACAACTATCTCCCTTTCCTGGGTTGGTGGAAGCAGGCGATTATTATAATACTAAAGCTAATGATGCTTCAGGTAGCTAGATTAGTAATGCCACAATAGAGAGGAGTTGATCCTAAAAAGGTATTCCTGGATGATAGTATGGGTGGGATGTAGAACCCACTGTGGACAATGCAAGATTCCTTGGAAAAGTTCTCATGGTGTATAATTCCCAGGGAGAAAAAAGAATGAAGCTATTCCATTATTTTTTCACAGGAACCCTGTGAAGCTCTTATTGAGACACAATGGCATGAGGACCATCTCAATGAATACTTAAATACTTACTCATCTTCAATTGTGTAGAAACATAGAGATTACAAAAACTTTAGAATGGCTTTAAATGTTGCTTTTGGCACAACAAAAAAGAATTTGTCATATGTAATGGCCAGAAAATATTCAATATGGCTAATTTTTCTTTTTGGCTTCTTCAAAACCTGAACATCAGTCTAGGTTGAAGTAGTTTATTTGCAGAAATATCAGTACTAGCACTAGGTAAAGAGTAAGGAGTGAGGCAGGGAAAAGGAGAATCTAGGCACTAAGACTTTAATTAAAAAGAAAAAAAATTACTTAGAAATTCTAGAAGCCACCTGGAGTGGTTGTTTTAGAGGTGTCAAGCCCCAAACCCTAGGAAGCTGACATATTAGCCCCCTCCATGTGTAGGCAAACAGACTAATGGCCATACACAGGTATTCTAAACATGAAAATTATAGATTCTGTAGGTAGGGAGCTTATCAGTGTCTAATGAATTAAAAAATCTGTCTAACCACTATCCATGGTGATGAAAGTATTATTTTTAAAAAATAATAATATTTTATTAATTCCTGAGAAATTTCATACAATGTATTTTCATCCTCCTGTCCCCATCTCCTCCACGACCTATCCCTACAGCTCCACCCAACTTTACATCTTCTCCTTGTAGTAAAACCCACAGAATGCAACCTGCCCTTGGGCTGGCAAGGCCATCAACTGAAATACTGAGCCATCTCCTATTCCCAAGAAATTCTTTTTAAAAGTGCACATTTATTCCTTTTAGAGAAAGATGCTTTCCATGTATTTATTGAGGAATTACATAAGGAAATCTATATTGGGGTCCTAAAAAAAAGTATGTGAACTAAATTATTAGTTTAATCTAAGTTATGTAGTTCTACGTGGGGCCATGTGTGTGTGTGTGTGTTTTTTTTAATGTGTTACTTATGATGATATGTTATTGTCATCCACCCAAGTCCACAATTAACAAAAAAAATTATTTTTTTAGCTACTGTGTTCTATGTAAAAACTGTCTGCACTGGATGCATTAGGAGTTCATTCTTCTGTAACATTTTGCTAAAGATATACTATTATTTTTAGAAGTTAGTCTCTAATTAAATAGAATTTAACAATATAATAGTATGGAGAGTCTCCGGGAAGAAGGCTTTATATTTTGCCATGTGCTGTGGGTAGCTTCTCTGTGTGGGTATGACTGTATGTTGTTTGTGTGTGCCCATATTTCTGTCTCTGTGTGTCTGTTTTTCTATCTGTGTGTGCCTGTGGATATTGTGCAGTATGTGTCTAGGTATGCCTCTGTCTATGAGTAGTAAGAATACTTACATGTATTTATCTGATGTGTGTGTGTTTGTGTGTTTCTGTGTTTATATCTCTCTAATGCCTCTGTGTGGTGTGTGATGATTGTACATCTGTTTGTGTTATGTGTCTGCATGTGTTTTGAGTGTGTGTATCTGTGTATATCTATGTGTTATGTTTGTGTGTGTGTGTGTGTGTGTGTGTGTGTTCATGTGCATGTATCTGTGTTGTGCACATGAGCCTGATGTTTTTCTCTCTGAAGTTACTTGGAAGTCAACAATATGATTTACAGTTTACAGTTCATGTAGCTTCAACAAGGTCTGATAGCAAGGCACTGAGGAGCCCTGGCAGAGGCTCTCCGTGGATTCTTCATGGTCACTTTTCCCCCCAAAAGCCTTCAGGTACCCAAAGATACATGTTCCTAGAATGTTTTCATCCACTCAGAGACTTAACATACAAACTCCATTAGCACTTTGCCATGGTTGCCTCGAACCACTTGTCAGAAAGCTCAAGCTACCACTCAGTGTTAAGTTCATGTGTGAGTGAGTCTCTTTTCTGTGTTTGTTTAAGGCCATTTTTGTGCCTGAGTCATGTGTAAGGTGAAAAACTAAGGCCACTTCATTGTTAAATGTATTCTGCTGTCTGCAGGCTGCCTTTGTTGCAAAAAGGAAGCCTGCTGTTAGGCAAAGTATAAACGCAGCACAATGCAGCTGCATTCCTGCTAATCTAGTTATGTGCTTTGATAGGAGTAGTGGTAGATGATAGGAACAGCAATTCAATCCCAGCATGCACTGATTTACAGGCAGAACTTCTAGTGTTGACACAGCGAGCTGAATTTGTTTATGAATGTGAGGGAGTCTGATGCTTTGGAGTCAAATGCTGCATGACCAGTGGGGGATGAAAGGAAAATTTGTGTTGATTGTGGGTGACATGTTCAAAGTTAAAAACCAAAGGCTGTCCCAGCATCCTTGCAGCCAGCCACATGCTTCCTGACTTATGAGTTAGAGCAGAATGTTGACATTGTGTCTGGGACCTCAAATCATTTTTCTTCCCAGAAGTTTTTGTAATTCATGGTCTTTACAAAACTCTGTCTTTGATTTCTCACTATAAAAAAAGAAGTAAAGGCTGAAAGAAGTGACTCAGAGGTTAAGAGCATTTGCTCCCCTTGTAAAGCACTGGAGTTCAGCTTCCTGCACATACCAGCTCGAAGCCTCCTGGGAGTAAATTTTCAGACAGCTGATACCTTTCTCTGCCTCAGTGGCCATCCACACATAGGCACACACACACACACACACACACACACACACACACACACACACACACACACACATAAATAAATAAAATAGCAAAATTCAAATTGTTAAAAACAATCAAAAGAAGAATCCTTGTCGGAGAGGTCATTTTCCCCCCTTTTTTCTTTAGAAAAGCAAGTTCAATACTTTGTCGAGGTTGTAATTGTTAAACATTTCTAGCACTCACAGTCAATATCTAAATTCTGGTGCAGCATTAGGAACGATGCGCACCTACAAGTCCTGCTGAGAAGAGACAGAAACCCTGTTCTAGTTGAAAACTTTCCATTGACTTCCAAATCAAGCCTAGTTTCTCTGAGTAGAGGCCTCTACATGAGATGGGTCTGTGCTTGCCTTTTAAGTAAGTCATAGCAGTGGGCATTTGAAGAATCTCAATAGTTTATTTTCTCTCGCTGAAGAATCAGCGAGCCAGTACTTGGTCACTGTTGAAAGAGGAATGGCAGGCTGGCAGGCTGTAATGAACTTGAGCCCAACACAGGGGTGTTTGCATGTAGTAGAGCTTAGATCTGTGTTAGTACCTTCCTGTTCCCTCCTCACAGACATTCTTGCTCTTAAAGGGGCTGCTGGAATTTTAGAGAGAGACCAGGGAAAGTACTAGTTATGTGAGCATGTGCAAGTTGTCCAAAGCTTACATTGGACAGTTTCCTTTGGTTTAAAGGGGACACAATCACATTTAATTTTCTCTAGCATCATGAGTGCAAAAAAGAAATGTGGTGTGTAAAATGTTATTATCATAGTTCTTATTCCTGTTGTAATTACCATCTTTTGACAATCCTCTGTCAATTGCAGGTAGGCAATGGGTATATTTGATGCTGGTATGTTTCTTCAAGTCTATGCCTTAAAAGCAATTTTCTCAAAAAAAAAAAAAAGTGTATATTCGAGGGTAGTGAAGCAGCGAGAGGCTCCTCTTTGCTAGATGTTTACATAGCAAAATAATTAAGGTACTGTCTGGAGTAGAGGCTAGGCAGGCAGAAGACAGTTCTCATGAGAGGGCAGTGACTTGACCTCCTGGAATTTCTGCCCAGAAGCAACCTCACTGCCTGTTTAGTGACCCCCTAGTCCTCCTGCTGTCACCCTGGAGTGACTGGGTCTTGACTGTCCTCTGCAAAGATGTTACTCCAGCTACTGCAGCTACTGTGAGTAACAAACCGACCTTGTCTCTGACTCAGAGGATTACTTTTGCCTGTTATCTTCAGGCCCTTCAGATTGCAAGACCAGAACATGACCATTTGAGATGCACTGATTCTTAGGGGTGGGGCATGGGTTCTGCTTTCTGGGCAAGCTACATTTCTATGATCTATACATTTCAGGGTTTTGTTTTGGGGTTTGTTTTTTTTTTTCCTGAAATATTTCTTATGTGTTCTAGGCAAGGTTGTGACTTTCTTGTCTTATTATTTTTAGATTCAGTTTAGCATAGGATAAGTTGTAAGTTTTTAAAT